GATACAATAATATTGTGTGTTTCCCCACAGGACCAGGGCGACGCCTGGGGGCGGGGGGGAATGTGGCGAGTATCCCGAGTCCAGATTGGCGTCGCCCTGGAAACGCCGCTGCCACACTGATCACCGAGCTACAGGTGGCATTAATGCTTGTTTCTCCTTGTTCACAGACTCCGAAGGCACCCTGGGAGAGGGATCTGCATCATGGCACTTCACCCCACGAGCACCACGCTGAGACGGGCACCGAGCACCATTCATCAGAGCACGTGTGCTCCATGTGTGGGCAATAAATCACCCTCCGGGGCTCTTTCGATCAGTACCGAGTCTGTGTTCTCATTCACCCCGCGACAATATATATAATGTTTTTGATGCCGACTTAAATAACTTTCTCACAGATTTTACTGAGAATCTCCAATTAAATGTGTTAGGTGGTAACAATTAAAACTATGTAAAGACAATGAAAAAAATATATTTACAAATTCCTGTATTTTTGGCAAGATGTCACACTAATCGTCTCAGCATCAATAATGCTAATTATACACACACACAAAAATGCTTATTTTATGGATACCAAGTGTTTCCTTAGAAAATGTGCTTGACTCTAGTCTACTGTATATTTCAGTGACGATGACTTGCAAAGGGAAAAAAATGGAAGCTATGTATGAATTATTAATATAGGCGTACTCTTAGCAGTGAGCATACACTCAATGTAAAAAAAAAGGTACAAAAGCTGTCACTGGGCGGTACCTTTTCAAAAGTTAAAATTGTATATTTAGGGTACAACAGTTTGTCACTAGGGCTCTACCCTCAAAGGGACATCTTTGTACCTTATTTGCCCCTAAAATTGATCACCTCAAGGGTACAGATTACTAATCATTAAGGGTACTGTCTCAGTGACAAGCTGTTGTAACCCTAAAGGTACAATTTTTTTGTGACAGTATAAGACACTATTGGTTGTTACCTGTCAAACGAATTCAGTATCAACAAAGGTCATCTTTGCATCATGCATCTAAAATGGCATTTAGTGGTAATGCTATATATATATATATATATATAATGGCTGAGTTATTCACAAAGATAGACATTTTATAAACTGAAATTAAAGCACCAGAAACTTATCACAACAAAAAGCAACATTTCAACCAGTAAGGTCTTTCTTTCTTAGACATTTTTGACCAGTTAGGTCTTCATCTATCGTTATTTTTTCTGTCCTGTACTTAAGCCCAATATGGGCCCAGTCTAGCCCAATGGTAAGTCTTGCCGTAGATGTTATGGCAAGTCCTGGGATCATTGGATGTTCAGGAGATTAATTTAGGCTCTTTTGCATTTCATTTTATTTCCACCGTTTAAAAATTAAAATGCTTCTTTCAGTCCCGTTAACATTATAAATTAAATAATTGCACACAAAGCTGTTGATTGTCAGTGTTTTGTAGCAAGAATTCACATATGAAGTGGAAAGTGTCAGAGACGTGCCCAGGTTGGGCTTGGGTGGGAGTGACTGTAAGGATGAATGATAGATACATGAAAGATGATGAGATCAGGGGCTTTGGAGACTGGGAATGGGCTGGGCTGGGTGGAGCTCGGATCAACTGACCAGCTTCATCTATAAAAGCCGCAGTCTCACATCCTGTTGTGACTCAGCTTTGATCAAAACTGCTAGAGACAAAAAGACCAGACGAAGAGGAAGATACACTTGGCAAATCATTAAATAAAACGTTTAAACAACGATTAGAGGCAAAACCATGAGTCACTCTACATTTCGCACCTCTTATCACCGCACTTTCGGGGCACCTGTCTATAGCCCTGTGTCCAGTCACATAGGGGGCCGCTACATCTCCTCCTCTATTCCCACCCGCTCTGTGGACTTCAGGAGCCGCTCCAGTGCTCCGGCCCCCCGTCTCTCTTATGATAAATTGGACTTCTCACTAGCAGGGGCCATCAACCAGGAGTTCCTTGCCACACGCAGCAATGAGAAAAGAGAACTACAGGAACTCAATGACCGCTTTGCCAGCTTCATAGAGAAGGTCCGGTATTTAGAGCAGCAGAACTCAAAGCTGATTCTGGAGCTGGGTCAGTACAAGGACCAGCAGCAAGGGCCATCAGGCCGCATCAATGAGCTGTGCCAGCAGGAGATGAGAGAGATGCGCAGACAGCTGGAACTGATGGGCAAAGATCGAGACCAGATGCAGGTGGAGAGAGATAACCTGGCCGAAGATGTGGCTCTGCTCAAGCAAAGGTGCGTGTGCTGGTGTATGCTTGTATGGGATAGATTACGAATAATCTTTAAGTTTTAATAATTTTAATAATAAGACCTTTAAGAAAATACAGAAAACAGTCGTTAATTTGTCATTTTTACATTACATTGTTCAATTTTATATTATAGGCATTGTTTATATTTTTAGAAAATTTCTGACCTTTAAAATGTTTGACACAGGCCAGTGTATTAGTGGATTGTTCAACCAAAATAACATGTTCATTACATACTTATCTTCATGTCATTGCAAACCTCTGTTCTTTGGAATTATAAAAGAAGATACTATGAAAAATGTGTCTATGCATGGACACTGACTTCCATTGCATTGACAAAAACATTTGAAACATTCTTCAGAAGATCTTATTTTGTGTTCGGCTGAGGAAAGATGGTAATACAGGTTTGGAGTAACACAAGGGTGGGTAAATAATGAAAATGTTAATTTTTTTTTGAAAATTTTGCTTTTTTTACTGTTGAGTGTAAAAATTTTAATGGGTTTTAAGACAGAAGTTAACACTGGTAGAGTTAAAAGTTAAATGTGCCAAAGTTAGACATTTATAATGTCTGTGGGCTCCAGTTATAATTATGTTATAACAATACCTATTATATTCTGAAAGATTAAGCTTTTGTTTATTTGTTATCATTTAAAAAAAAAATTTTTTATTCATTTGTTTACACTGGGATACTGAACTTAATAGAATATAAGCTATTTTAAATTTATTCAGGATGGAATCCTATGTTTATAGAAAATATGTTTATTTTGATACAGAGGACAAAAGAAAAGATTGATTTAGTGGGGGAAATTTGCAGATATCACTTCAGAGGCAATTATGGTTGAATAAATTAAGATTATATCTTTAAAAATAACAGCATGTCTACATGATGTTCATGTTATATGGGCGTGGCAGCTAATTAAAGTAACAGAGACAAAGAAACTGCAGCAGGGACCCTCCCATCATCATCATCATCATCATCTCTAATGCGGTTCGACTGTGTCTAATGGATGAGACATTCATACAACTAATGTATGTACACCATATACACACACAGCCTGTATTCAGTCTATATGAGGACATCATTCCATATGCTACTGTGCGCGTACTTTGAAACTACTCATTACTGCTTAAAACTAATTTAACCTCAACACGCCTAGAACTTTATTGAAATTATGCTTTACGCCCATTTCATACCGTGAACTACACGAAATCCGTGCATGCGCAAATTTGCAGCCTAATTAGCTCCAGCAGCAGCAGGTCCGCGTTGTGCTGTCGCGCTGACAGGGCTGCGCCTCTGCACTGGTAATAAAAGGATGTCCAAGCAGGGGCGTTTTCTCTGACTAGAAAAGGGAGGAATCCTCAAAAAAATCGAATTATAAGTACAAATTATGAGATCAAACTGTGTAAAACATTACTTTTTATAGAGTGACGTTGCCTTAAAACATTAATTTATAGATCATGGACATCAATTTAAGTTTAAAATTATAGATAGATCTAATTTATTTGATTTTATTCAACCCAAAAATATTAACCTAATTATAACCTATACATTAGGTTAGTGATAAAACGAAATTTAAGGTTTAGATGAGGTAGAAATAGCTAAGGTAACATTTGCAGGTTAGCACTTCTTAATAGTGTACCATAGAGTCTACAATGTTTTTTTTTTCTCATCATGCTCATTGAGCGGCCACCCTCTTTTGAAATGGTGAGAAATTTTTTTTCTCGAATATTGGCACGAATGTGATATGTTGTTCAACACTGACACTGCCCAGCAAACAATTTTGCGTTTAAAAGACGTCTATTAGACGTCTAAATATAGCCTTGACGTCTAGGCTAAAACGAGGCTAAATTTGGGCTGTCAGTGAAAATCTAATAGACGTCTAATCATAGCTCAAGAATAGACTAGTCATCAATTAGACGGCTATTAAACGACTGCATATATACGTCTAATAGACGGTGAATATGGGTCTAGGCTAAAATAAGGCTAAATTTGGGCTGTCAGTGAAAATCTAATAGACGTCTAATCATAACCCAAGAATAGACTAGTTATCAATTAGACTGCTATTAAACGACTACATATACAGGTGCATCTCAATAAATTAGAATGTCATGGAAAAGTTCATTTATTTCAGTAATTCAACTCAAATTGTGAAACTCATGTATTATATCAATTCAATGCAAACATACTGAAGTAGTTTAAGTCTTTGGTTCTTTTAATTGTGATGATTTTGGCTCACATTTAACAAAAACCCACCAATTCACTATCTCAACAAATTAGAATACTTCATAAGACCAATAAAAAAAATTATTTTTTGTGAATTGTTGGCCTTCTGGAAAGTATATTAATTTACTGTACATGTACTCAATACTTGGTAGGGGCTCCTTTTGCTTTAATTACTGCCTCAATTCGGCGTGGCATGGAGGTGATCAGTTTGTGGCACTGCTGAGGTGGTATGGAAGCCCAGGTTTCTTTGACAGTGGCCTTCAGCTCATCCGCATTTTTTGGTCTCTTGTTTCTCATTTTCCTCTTGACAATACCCAATAGATTCTCTATGGGGTTCAGGTCAGGCGAGTTTGCAGGCCAATCAAGCACAGTAACGTTGACTGTGGACTTCAGAAAACACAGTGGACCAAAGTCCTCTTTTCAGATGAAAGTAAATTTTGCATTTCATTTGGAAATCAAGGTCCCAGAGTCTGGAGGAAGAGTGGAGAGGCACAGAAACCATGTTGCTTGAAGTCCAGTGTGAAGTTTCCACAGTCAGTGATGATTTGGGCTGCCATGTCATCTGCTGGTGTTGGTCCACTGTGTTTTCTGAAGTCCACAGTCAACGCTCAGTCCATTCCTTGTGAAGTTCACTCAAATTCTTGAATCGATTTTTTCTTCCACACTTTTTCCTTCCACAACTTTTTGTTAACATGCTTGGATACAGTACTCTGTGAGTACTGCTGTAACTAAAAAGTAGCCCAGTACACACATTAACCTCAAATGTACATGGAATAATAAATTAACCCCTACCGTTTTATTACATTATGTTTTCTGTTTGTATTGTTTAGGTTTTAATGCTGCACTGCACATCTGAGCTTTTTGCACTTATTATTTGTATTCTTAAGCGTTACTATCAATTTGGAAGTTTCAAAATAAATCTTATTGTAACGTTACTTGTACAATGACAAAGAAATTCTATTCAATTAGCTCATGCTCTCTCTGTATCCAACAAGCCATTGTTCAGTAATGAATTCAATATAATAATTAAATTAAATAATGGACTTTGTCAGAGAGCTTTAGTGTGGAAATGTTATTTTGGAGAGTTTTTTAATATATTTTTTTTACCATTGCTGCCCGGATCTTTTCCAGATGTTGAAACTCCTCCTCAGTTTCTCCAATTCTTCTGAGTGTGTTCACTGTATAAATTAATATGGATTAATCTTTGACAAAGCTGTTTGTTCTGTTGTTTGCTCTTTGCTCTTCTTGTGCTGTTTTAAAATCGATTGAGTTTGTAAACACATACAAATGATAAAACTTTTACTCTATTCAATTTTGCAATTAATCCTCTGAACACATGCGTGCTGAACCGTGGGCCTACTCACGGATCACTATCAACTAAGATCTGCTCCCTTCGCGAAAATGTAACGGTTCCTAAACATGAGAACAAATAATAAAGATAAATAATGAACACATGTCAAAACGAAAACACAGATACTTACAAGACCAAGTAGGAATGTCCTTTATCGTTTGTTGTTTGGTCGCTGCTCTCCGACAAGTAAACTTAGTGCTCGCTCGTGTAAAAAACTTTTCAAAACACAACACTGATCTCTAACTCTAATGTCTCGCGTTGCCAGTTGTCATGTCTCGTGTAGGGCTACAATTGTAATTGCATTTTTATTTATAAAATGAAAGACAGCCGAATATCAATAATATCATATAATGTGTATGAATGTAACATAACAGCTAGCCTATGCAGTTCAGTAAAGTTATCTAAGTGACTTACATTTTAGACATGTTTTTGCTCCAACAACATCCACAACAGAACAGATTCGCGTCTCAGAGCAACACACAATTGAAACCATTCCATTTACACCTGGCCACATAAGTCTCTGTAAAACGGATCCGATCTTCAATTCCCGCGCTATATGCAAATCTAAAGGAGTTCACGTCAACGAAAGCAGATTTTATTCATCATAAACTAATTTCAAGATCAAAGACCGCTACAGGAGAGAGAGCAGCATCAGCACTGGAAAGATAAGTTAGTCTTACTACTTTAATGAGGATGCTTGTGTGTTGAGCGTCTGCGACTTACTTTCAGTTTCATTTGCAGCAGCTTACTGAAGAGATACGTTACTCTGTTGCATTAGCGCTGTCCTATCCAACTGTCATGTCATATAGCCTAGAACACCCTCTCACAATTTTATTATTTTAACATTTAACATTTTACATATGTGGTTTCAACAACCAGATGCATTTACACAGTTTCATGACTAGGGCTGGGGTTTGATACAAATTTCACGATTCGATTCGATTCAATATCGATTATCTTGGACAGGTACAGTTCATGCCAAATTTCCTCAAGGAAACAAAAATCTCTCAACTAATGCTGTAAAATATACACGAGAGTCAGTTGGTACTACATTATTATAATACTGAAGGTTAAAATGGACTGATTTGTTAAAATTACACTTAATGGAGTTTTTTTAAAGAATAAAGTTACAATTACATAATAATATTTCTACTTCAATTTTTTTTAAAATATAAACATAATTGTGGCTGTCATAAAAACTTGATGGATTTATTTAAACAATAAATGTAAAGACAGAGCCCGAAAGGGGAACAGAGTCTGGTGACAGACACAGTGGTGAATATGTGTTTGCAGCACACAAGCCACGGTTCAGACCGCTGACTCCACTTTGATGTGTCTCTCTCTCTCTCTCTCTCTCGCTTGCGTGCACACACACACACACCATGCGCAAAACTCTGCATTTGAACAGAACAAT